AATTCTTTAAATGCCCATTCCATATAAATTATATAATCCAACACAACTAAACTTTTCCAGTCAGTTGTATTGTTTTCTCTTGGCGTAAAATTTATTTTGTACAAGTCTTTGATTAAATCCTCAGGATTTACTAAATATTTTGTTTATAAAAATTTGTAAATGTAAAATTTTTGGTTCGTATATCTTCTCCGAATATACGAAGATTTTTAAGATAAACTGGGTAAGAGTTTAGACCTACTAGATGGAATTAATTTCGATTCGTCATAAAAATATTTTCTTGAGTTTCGTACATGTATGGTAGTGATGCTCGGGTATCCCGATCCCGACTCCCGACTCGGGAAAATTTCCCGAGTTTTTGGCCTCCCGATCCCGATCCCGACTCCCGGTGTCAATTCCCGACTAAGTCGGGAAATTTTTACACCCCTAAGAATGACTTTTTCTGGCAAAATTATATTTTCATTTAGAAAAAATGAAGAAATCTGGCCTCTTGGTCTTCTAAAATTCCCAAACTTTTCGCCTGCGGCGCTGAAAAGCGAAGATTTTTGGCTTAAGGATCTTCCAAAATCCTCAAAAATTTCGCCTGCGGCGCTGAAAATTGAAGAATCTGTGGAGTTGTAGTATAGAAAATTTCGGTGATTTACTAGGATTATGGTGAATTTAAAGAGATAACGAGGGATTTGCAGTAACGAGGGATTGCCCCCATAACGAGGGATTGCCCCCAGCAATACCCAACACTGATTATCTCTGCGGTTACAAGGTTTTTTGGACAGGCTGTTGGCTTATCTTTCCAAATAATCGGGGAAATAAACTTTAAGTTACCCTTAAAGATCGTTCTATTTCACTCCAATGAGAGTCAAAATTTTTGGCTGCGGCGCAAAAAATGGAAGAAATCTGACTTCTTGACCTAAAAATTCTCAAACTTTTCGCCTGCGGCGCCAGTAAAGCTTCTTTACCTCCCAAAATTTTCAATATTTTTGCCTATGTGCAAAAAATCGGAATTTTGGCGCCGAAGGCGCCAAAAATTTTTGAAATTTTTGGAAAATTTTTTTATTGCTAATTCCCGACTCCCGATCCCGACTCCCGAGGTCATTTCCCGACCCGACTCCCGTTTCCCGGGTTTTTTCTTCTCCCGAGCATCACTAATCGGGCTGTGCGTCATGGCGTTTGGCGTTTGGCGTTTTGGCGTTAATTTTGGCCGATTTTTGGCGTTTTGCGTTTGGCGTGATTTTCCGATTTTGGCGCGCCAAACGCCAAAAATATACACCCCTAATGATGGAAATTTTTGAAATAAATGGAGAAAGGGATGATCGAAAAAGGAAATTTTTCTGCCTACAGTCATTCAAAATTTTCAAAATTTTCGCCTTTATTTCAAGTGGTCAAGCTTAAATTTCAAGTGGTCGCCTTAATTTCAAGTGGTCAAGCTTAAAGGAGGAAGCCCTTATCTTAAACTAATAGATGGTAAAAAAAACTTTAGTCCCGTTTATCGTTTACTCTCTTCATGACCTCTGTTATACTCATTACTCCCTTTATCCCTTCATATCCACCTTAATTTCAAGTGGTTTATGAATTTCTTATTTTTTAAAATTTTTTAAAGGATGAATTTCGGCTTTTTTGCCTCCAAAATTCTCAAAAATTTCACTCCGACGGTAAAAAAAGGATGAATTCTGGCTTCTGGGAATCTTGAAAATTAAAAAAATTTCGCCTGCGGCGCTAAAATGAGATGAACAGTGATTTTTAAGTCTTTATAGACTCTAAAAATTTTGGCGTTTGGCGTTTTGGCGTTGATTTTGGCCGATTTTTGGCGTTTGGCGTGTTTTTAAAATTTAAAAAATTGGCGTTTGGCGCGCCACGCGAAAATTTTGGCGCACAGCCCTGTCACTAATGTATGGTTCGGACATCGGATCCCGATCAGGTTTTGGCGTCCATTTTTGCGTTGCGTTTTGGCGTCCATTTTTGGCGTTGCATTTTGGCGTCCATTTTTGGCGTTGCGTTTTGGCGTCCATTTTTAGCGTTGCGTTTTGGCGTTCATTTTTGGCGTTGCGTTTTGGCGTCCATTTTTAGCGTTGCATTTTGGCGTCCATTTTTGGCGTTGCGTTTTGGCGTTCATTTTTGGCGTTGCGTTTTGTCGTCCATTTTTAGCGTTGCGTTTTGGCGTTCATTTTTGTAGATTTTGGCGTTCTGGTGGTTGGCGTTATTTAAAAATTTGAAAATTGGCATTTTGAGTTTGGCGCGCCATGAAAAAGTTTTTGGCGCGCCATGAAATTATTTTCACGCACAGGCCTTGTTCGAAAGTGAAAGACAAATAACCTCGAAAAAATTTACTTACTCAATTGATGAAAATTTTCTGAAAATCTTTCAGAAAGTATAGCAAATCTTTCTACTCCAAAAATACTTTTAAGTTTCCATCTCAAGTGATACAATCCAACTTCATTATTAGTATTTATTTTGCTACTTAAATTTATTTAAAAAAAATTTTTCTTTAATAAAATTTTTAAAAAACCTAAGAAATTCCAAAAAATTTTTATTTTCCATAACCGAAAAATAAAATTCAATAAAAATTCCTTCTACAATCATGCCTTTTAAAATTTCATTTTTTTCGACAATATTATTTTCTTTATCACAATCAAAACTAAACATTTGTTCATTGTCATTAGTTAAACTATTTATGTAAAATTTTAAATGAACAAAAATTTGAATAATATAGCAAAGTTGCGTATTATTTCTTTGTTCAGTGTGGTATAGTGCTGATTTGACTCTAAATTTAGCAAAAAAATAGATTTTTTTTATTAAAATTTGGGTGATTGATGGTATTTTGAAGTTAGGGTCTGCGCCTAATTTTCCAAAAGTTAGGAGTTGCTTCGGGAAACGTGAGAATATCTCACCCTAGGAGGTGCAAACTTTTGCCTAAAATTTTTCTGCGCGCCCGCCTTTAAGGGTGAGCACTAGAGACGAACAAAGGGTGGGCACTAGAAAATTTTTGATTATTTTTGTTCCTTATTTAATTCTCTATCATTTGATCCTTATTTGATCTCATTAGCTTTACTTTCAATAAAGTTATGCCAAAAATTGTGACCGGTTACTTTTGGGTCACTTGTGGGTAATTTCAACTTTTTGCTGGAATAGGTAATTAATTAGGCGAGGGAGCAATCATCTGATAGGAGGGGGGGGTAATTATTCGAGCATATATGTTTGTAAAAAATGGTAAAAATGAAGGATTTCGGACTTCCTGGCCTTCCAAAATCCTCAAAATTTTTGCCTGCGGCGCTAAAAATGAAAGAAATTTGGCTTCTTGGCCTTCCAAAAATCTCAAAATTTTCGCCTTATTTGAAATTTTATTATGTTTAAGCTTTTAAAGCTATGTCCTAATTTTTGCCTTAATTTCTTCTCTATTTTTGCCCTATTTTTACCCTATTTTAGAGTGGCTGCGCCCTATTTTAGTGTTTTGGAAGGGGCCACCCTGATAGGTTTGTAAAAATTAAGTTTTAACAGACCCATTAAAATATTGTAATAAAGTCGCTCCTCCGAAAAAACTTTTCTCTTCCAATTTATCTTTTATTTCAGCTTTATATCTCTCTATTAATCTTTCATTTATAGAGAGATATGTAGCTATTGCTATTTTTAATTTAATTTTTTTCAAATCTTTTTCTGTGCCAGCTGATAAATATTCTTTGTAATACTCAGCTAACACTTGGTTTTTGTATTCTATCGACGATGGATTTAGAAAAAAAGCATTCTCACCGCCAATAGTATTTTGAATGGCCAAATTTTTCATCCCTAAGTTATTTTATAAAAAATTTTTGTGAATAAGTGTTGCAATAAACCAAGATAATACTTTGGTTTAGAGCCCGGACGGAGGGCTCGGTCTATCGAAAAATATCGAAATCGAAAAATATCGAATAAAAAGTCTCGATAATTTTGATTTTTCACAAACTTAACTATACCCAATGAATAACAGAATAGACCTAATATTTTAATGAGATTAAGATTAATTAAATGGATATTGGTGAATTTAATCGGATTAAATGTAATATCAATGGACTTGTATTTGATATCGAAGGATCAAGTGGGATATAAGTGGATTTTAACTAGGGATAATGGTGCCTTTTTGAAAAGCCTGGACTTGTTCCACTTGTTCCTGGTGTTGATTTATTGACCTGGGCCGGATCCTCGGCCTGTAGTCCAGGAAAAGCCTAGGAAGGTCAAAATGCCTGGGCCTGGACTCTTTGGATTAACCAAAGCCTGGAAAAACAAGGCCTGGAAAAACCCAGGTCTTGGTCCAGGTCCAGCTCGATCTCTAGTGTCTACACACAATTTTTATAAATCCATTTTTATAAAAATTTCAAAAAAAGTTTCCTAACGTTTCCCAAGATTCCAAAAATTTTTCATTGCCATTGAAGCTGAAAAAAGTAATAAAAAAATAATTATTTGACATTTCATTCTCAATCAAATTAATTAATTTTTTAAATTTGTCTAAAATTTATTAAAAATAATTTTTAAAAACTAGCAAATAATTTAAAAATATTTTTTTAGCTAACAAGAATATTCGTTAAAAATTATTTTTAAATATAAAAAAAAATAAAAAAAATTTTAAGTAAAGGCCCTAAATGAGGACCTTCATATGTTTAATAAAAAACGCTCGCGAATTTCGACAGAAAAGAGAGAGAGGATTCGCGCGCGATCTTGTCTCTCCTTTCGAAGAGGCATTAATTGCCTCTCCTTTTGGTAATTAAATTTGCCTCTCCTTTTACTAAACATTGCTTTATTTTAAGTAATTAACATGTAAGATGGTAAGCGGGGAGGAAGAAAAGTCCACGTTTACCTGCCCTTTTTAATTATTCAATAAAATTAATTTTTAAAATTAAAAATGGCAAATTATTGCCTGTAAAAATGTCAAACGACTTCTTGCCAGCGGAAATTCAAAATCTTGTGTTGTCTTTTATGTTTTTACAGTTGTTATTAGTGATAATTATTAGGGTTGAGAAAGAGTTTAGCAAAATTTCAGCCACCGGGCAGGATTCGAACCTCCTACCTCCTCGTAGTTATTGGTCACTACATTCAGCTCTACCACTAAGCTACCGGGGCGACGACTTTTATCGTTGTCGCCCCGGTATTTTATCCTTTTAGATCGTTTAACCCCCGCCTAAGCGTTCCAATGCTCTAGGTGAATCATCCTTACTGTCGGTTATTAATCGATACCCCCATTTCGGTAAATCCCAATTTTAAAAACCCGGTTTGCGGTTTTGAGTTTTATACAAATACCGGTTTTATTTTGGGAGATTTTTTAAAGAAATCACTCATTTTCAAAAATTTCCGTTTTTCGGTTTTTTAAATTTAATAAAAAAAAATTTCAAAATTTTCGGTTTTAAAACCGGTCGTAGACAACTCATGTACAGATAGGTGTAAAAATTTTTCTTAATTTAGATTCTAGAGCGGCACAATTCAGAGGGTCACATCAACATCACCTTGAAGGAATACACAAAAAAGGAAGGCGAAATTGAAAATTGCCCAAAATTTTGTTATCTTACATTTGAAATACTTGATTTTTATTTCTTTTTTTTCTCTTTGTGCCTAAATATTTTTTTAATAATTCTAAATTTTTTTCCAATAAAATTTTAAATATTTAAAAAAAGTGAATGACAAAATAACTGTTTGATTAGCTTTTTGCTTTTTTTGATGATGAAGCATTTTCTCCGCTTTATTGTCTCTCCCGTTCAATTCCAAGGCAAAAAGGCTTTAATTCCATCAACATAATTAAAGCACTCTCTTTTTTATTCTCTCCCTTTTATTCTCTGCCGCTTTAATAAAAATTAATTTTAGAGGGATTTAGAGAGGTGGGTGTGTTTGTATATTTGTGGCTTTTGTTGTCTTCAATTTTAGAAAGCTAAAAAAAATTTTTATTTCATTTAAAACCCTTTTTTAGTTTATAATCGAAGAATAAAAAATATTTAAAAATTGCTTGAACTTTTTTTGTGTATTGTTTTTAAATAAACTTTTACAGCTCTTTAAACCAACCGATTTTCTTGTGTGTTCAAAAAGCTCGTAAACAGTCTTTAATTTAATTACCGTATTTCCTATATTAGAGCCCCACTCTTTGTTAGAGCCCCACCCTCTAATACAGCCCCACTTTGGAGGATAGTTGAAAAATAGAGCCCCACCCTCAATTAGAGCCCCACCCCAAATACAGCCCCACCTAAAAAATATTGGAGGAAAAAATATCAGAATAACTTTTAAGATGTATGTATTAAGAGAGTTAAGGAAATAAAGGGGGATATCTATGATTTCGTGATCATTGAGGAGGAGGGATCATGGGGATTAGGGATGAAAATGAGGGATTAATCCCGTTATCCGTCAAAATACTCTAATATCGCCTATATTCCTCTAAATTCCTCCTATTACCTCCAAAATCTAATCATTTTATAAAGGGTTGCAATCGTGTTAGGCACTTGATGATAATTCGCGAGATTATTAGAGATCTATTAGATATCTAATCAGTGATATCTAACCAAAATTTCTCTGGAACCGATTTCAGTTACGTAACTGCTATTTGAATTTCTTCAGTTCCAGTTCTGGAACCTGTTCCAAAGCTTTATCAAACAAATCCCTTCATATGCCTCCTAATACCCCTAGTCCAGAATATCCCTCATAATCCCTCTAAATCTCTCAATATAAACTTAATCCTCTGATATTCCCCATAATCCCTTAAAATCCATTTTTATCCCTCTAATCCATCAATGTCAAATAAAAGTTCCATAATATTTCCTTTAATCCGTCCAAATCTACCCATATTTAATAATTAATCTTACTCTCATTGAACTATTGGGACTATTTTGTAATTCATTGCTTAAAAAGTTTTGGTTTTTCTTGAAAAATCGAAAAATATAGATTCTCTTTCGATATTTTGCGGCTTTATCGACCAAACCCTCCGACTTATCTCTAGTTGCAATGGATATAATAAATGGGATTCTATCTCAAAAGAGGGTTGAAAAATAGAGCCCCACCCTCAATTAGAGCCCCACCCTTTAATACAGCCCCACCTTGGAGGATAGTTGAAAATTAGAGCCCCATGGGGCTCTAATATAGGAAATACGGTAATTAATTCAAGTTAAAGATGAAGCAAGAAATATTTTTTCAATTATTTGTATTAATTTTAACTTCAATTTTGGTTGAAAACAAACAAAACAAACAATTAGTGAAGGATAAATCTAATTTTATTTTTTTAACATTTTTTAATGATTCTGACAGTAGTTTGGAAGTAAATCTGGTTCTGGGAGAGAAGGATTTACATAAAAGTAAGATAACTTTTTACAAGATTTTTGGGAAGATTTTGGATTTATTGAATAGAGAATTAAATAAACTACTAAAAATTTTTTCAAAACAGAATTTTAAATTAATTAACAAAAAAGATATGGAGTAAAATGTGCTATAATGTCGATTTTTTGGCACTTTTTTGAACCATAATTTTGTTTCTAAATTTTTCAAAATTCTAATTTTTGCTCTATTTTGTAGAGAATTTAATTCTCTATCAAATGATAACAAAAGAGTTTTAAAAAGTCAAATATTCAATGAGTTATGGGGAAAATAGTGAACCTATGTTTAGTCTTAAAAGAATTCTTTTAATTAAATTATTAATTATTAACTTTCAAATTTTTTAAAAGAACAATTAATTTTAACCTCCAAACACCACAAAAGTGAATCAGAAACAGCCAAAGTGACTGTAAATTATACAGTGAGAAAGGAATCGTCTCCTATAGGCCTTTTTGGCACCTCAAGTCTTTTTTCCTCAGCTGCGACTGAATTGCCTTTGGTTAAAGCTAAAACTATAAAATTATCTGAGAGTGTTGGAAATGTTGGTAAGTAAATAAAAAGAAAAATTAATTGAATTAAAATTATTTTTTGAAGAATATAAAATTGATGGAGTGACGCAAGGCTTTGTAAAAACCCATCATCTTTTCCCTAAGGGACACAAAAATTATCAAATGAGAGTTTGTATTTTTGGCGATTTTGCTCAGAATTTATATGAGGATGCTGATTTGAATCTTAGCGATATTATAGAGAAAGAAAATTGCCAATTAGCTCTTTTTATTGGTAAGTTAAGAATTTTATGGGAAGGAGGAGTAAGCGGATATGGGTTAGTTAAAGCCTTATATCTCTTCAATGGATGAACCTTTTTAGTTACTTCTGGTATCATTCGATAGCGAATTGAATTTGCTACAAAATAAAAAATAAATTAAAATTTTAGGTGACTTGGCAATAAAGTTATAGACGAAAAACCTTTATAATTTAAGTTTTTTCTTCAAAAATCCTGATTTTCCAACCATAACATTTTTTCTTTATAACAATAAAATCTAATTTTTTAGTTTATAGCAAATTTAATCCTCTATCGAATGATACTAAAAGCTTTTCTAAAGCTTCATCCATACCTGAGTTCTTAGTAAAAAGTCAACTGCTCTTTAAGGTAAAATTGCTTGGGAACGCCAAGTAAAATCTCAACAACCGAGCTTTTCATTTTCTCCATATGTAATGTTACATAGCAAAACTAACCCTTTAAAATATTCTGCATTCACCAAAGTTCCTTCAATTTTTGGAAAAGTTGGTGGAGGCATGACAGAAACAAGTTACTTTCAATGGCAAGTTTTAATTTTTTTAAATACGAGCTTTTTAAACGATCAAATTTTCCTGTTGTTTTAAAAAGCTGTAAATTTCCCTTAAAGTACCCGAGTTGGAGATGTTGCTTTTATTCAAATAACGGTAGAAATAGCCACAGTAGCTGATTTACCTGATGGAAGCAAAGCTTTTGAGATGATTGGGCATTATTTTAGAGAAACTATGCTTAATGAATTGGAATGTAAATTACAGGTAATTTTAAAGGGGATTATTTCTCTTACGAAAATTTTTACTTAAAAAGGAGCTACATCAAATAGAAAAACGTCCATGGATTGCGTATGCAATTTTTAAAAAGTTAAAATAATTTTCAAAAAAATAATTTAAAGTTTATTTATGACACATCCCTTTTTGGTAAGCAATGATGAGAACAAGGTTCAGTGGTTTGTAATGAATGACACTCATCGCTTCTTTGATATTTTAAAACGTTACAAGGTTAAGATTGAAGATTTTTAATTAAAATTTGGCACTCCAAGACTATGCATTTCAAATCCTGGCGTTTCGAGGGAACGCCCAAGTAGGCGCGCGGCCAATAACGGTGCAAAGACAGAACTTGCTGGAAAATTTCTTGCCCTTATCAATTTTGGTACCAATCTCTTTAGCTCGATGAGGGGAATCGTTTAATACTAAATATGACAAGATTCGGAAATCTTAAAGCAAGTTATAGCTTTGCGCCGTGCGCTTGGGCTGTACTCTTTTAAGAAGATTTAAGAAAAATTATAGGTCGATTTGCTAACAAGCTGTGGAATTGAGGGAATGTCTAGAATGTTGCAAGCTGCCCGTAAAAGAATGCCAGATGCCAAACTACCAGAATATATACAAACAACAATGGCACAATGTGGGGGATATCAATCTGTAGATGTTACTTTACAGAATGAATGTACATTTGCTACGTTGAATATATCGCCTAAACAGATTGAATTTAAAAAGAAATATGCTGAAGGGAAAGAAGCGGGGAAAGTGGCTATTGAAGGGAAAATACAACGAACTTTCGTAAAAAATTTTTTTAATATTGAAATTTATTGGAGAGGGGATGGGGTACAAGGGATTCTAGTAGTGGCGAAATGAAATAATATTTTTATGGGTGGACATAAGTAGGGTTGGGCCCCTAATGCTCGGAGGCGGTTGTCTCTGGGTACGGGGTTTTCGAATTGTTTCGGGACGGAGTCGGGGAGCAACTCTCGACATTAGTGAAAAACATGGTAGCGAGCGAAGATTCTTAGTAAAATTGTCAAGATAAAATCAAAATCTCGACATAACGAACTCGAAGTGACCAAATAAGTTTTATTAAAGCGAGAGCAATTTCATAGAGGTATATTAGTCCGAAACCTGTGAGAAGGTTCAGTATTTCGAGAGGTTCAATAAATCGAGGTTAACTACCGATTTTATTCAATTTAATGCCTAGGCATTCTATTTCAATCATCCTCCAAAGGGGCATTCTATTAGAAGGGGAATTCAAATAGAGAGGGTCATTCAGTTAGAGTAAATACGGTATACCGAGAGTAGACTACCATTTACCACAGAAATGATTAAAATTACAATTATTTTAAATTTAAAAATTTAGGAAGAAGCAGATCGTTGTGTTCCAGACGAACTTTGATATTTTAAAAAACATTTGCTTCATTTTACAGTCGTCGACATAAAGATAGGGACAAGAGTAATTTAAATGTAATTTAACTATTTTTCAGTCAAAAAATACGATCTATATATCAATCGAAAGCTCTATTCGTATCTCAGTTGACATTTTTCTGCATTTTTCATGAAATTGAAAATTGGCCGAGATATCCGGATTAAGCCGGATATCCCAAATTCTATATCCGCGGAAAAATTTTTCTGAAAAAATTTGACAAACCCATTTGATAAAGCATATTTTTGTGAGTATTTTACACAAAACCGCTTAGAAATATCTTTTTCCGGAACGGAGATATGAATTTTTGTAAATCGCATTTTTGCCTTAAAAATTGAATTTTTTGCAAAAATAGACGAAAAATGCGATTTTCAAAAAATCATATCTCTGGTCCGGAAAAAGATATTTCAAAGCGGTTTTGTGATAAATAATCACAAAAATATGCTTTATCAAATGGGTTTGTTAGATTTTTTCCGAAAATTTTTTCCGAGGCTGTGGGATTTGGTATATCCGGTAGATCCGGATTATCTCGGCCAATTTTCATTTTCATGAAAAATGCAGAAACATGTCAACTGAGATACGAATAGAGCTTTCGATTGATATATAGATCGTATTTTTTGACTGAAAAATAGTTAATTTGCATTTAAATCACTCTTGTCCCTATCTTTATGTCGACTACTGTATTTCTCTTTTTTAAGAAGCTTTTCCTTCTTTACCTTTTTGCTTTAACTTTTTTTCCTTTTCTTTATTAACTGGTCATTTAATCGATTATAAAATACTTCAATAAATTTGTACAACTCTTGCTTAAATAAAAAATTACCCTCCAAACCCCTCTAATTTTACCCAAAAATGCTGAAATTCGTTTTATTTTTCCTTCTCCTTATCCCCCCATTAATTGCTTCTTTTGACCGTACAATTGACCATTTTGAGACCAATTTGGATCGATTTGCTAAAGGACCACCTTCACATATTAAACCTTCACGGATTATTCTTCCAACAAATTTTATGGAAAAATTAATAAATAATGGAGGGATTCAGTTAAAAAAACAGGGAAATTTTGAACGAAATTTTAATGAGAATACAAATAAATTAAATAATAACCACTTAAATCAACCAACTACACGAATTTTAACAAATCCAAAAATTCCAATTGACAAAATTTTATTAAATAAAAATAAAGAAAAAGAGGAGAATGCTTATTTGTCTCAAGTTAATCAGTTAATTCCTTCAATCCCATCAATTAACACAGGAGAAGATCCTAGACCTTTCCTGGAAGGAGAAAGATTAGGGCAACAAGGAAAATTTGGGGGGCCAACAAATCAATACAAAGAAGACTGGGGACATAAATACACCCAAAAAGAGAATAGAGAAATGGTTGGACAAGTTCAAAATTTTGTTTCAAGCTTTACAAGCTCTCAGCAATCCTCAAAAATAGAAAAAGGTCGGTAGTATATTTTTGGTGTAGTGGAATAATTTTTGGTTTACAACGAAAAAGGGTTGTGGGTTCGACCCCTTTTGATGGGAAACATTTTTTAATTAAACAAATTAAATATTTTTTCGGTTTTAACTTGATAATAATGCTTACAAAAATTTTTAAAAATTAATTTATCGCTCTAAAAATGGTAAAAAACTCAAAAAATTAAAATTTCCCAGATATCAACCCAAACCTAGACGGATCTAAAGTATTTATTGACAACAACAAAAAATCTCTTAATACTGGCCTCACAACTGGACGGATTTCTCCCTATTTAAACGCACCAGAAGAAATAACGGGAAGTAGATGGCGTAGTTTTGATGAATATTTTAATAATTTAAATAAGGGGAATAGAGGAAGAGGGCCTAACAGATTTGTTAAAATTGATTTATTGAATGAATAAAAAATATGATTTATGAGAGAATAAAATTATTTAAAAAAAGTTCCGAGTAATCACTAGAACCAGCAAAAATATTTAAAATTATAATAGAAACTTCATTTTAACGTCGTTATTTTAACATTATTCGTTGACATACCTTCAAATTCTCAAAGTTGAGGTTTTAGCTGACAGCCAAGTTTAATTCCAGTAGTACGGACACATTCCCAACTTCTCAATAATACTTCAAACTGCAGCCAATGTCACTAAATTTATAAACATAGATAACAAATCATAACCAGACCTGCAATTACGTAGTATTCCAACGCCTCTAGCCCAAAATATCCTTTAGCTCCACCAAAATTAGCAATACGAAAAAATGCCATTTTTATTTTTCTTTAAAATCTTGTTAAATAAAAATTAAAATAAATTAAAAAAATATATAATCTGTCAAAAGGACACAGACTGGATAACAAAAAATGTTTTTATAAAAATTTTATACAAACAAAAATAGCCACAGAAGCACTCAAAGACATAAAAAACCTCATTTTTCTTATCATTTTCTTTCCTGTCCATTCTGCTCTTTATTAAATTTCCTCCTCCAACTGTCCAACCATCTTGGAGGTGTTTTTCTCTTTTCTTTCTCTTCTTCAGAAATTATTTTTAAATCTCTTCCCAAATTAGCCCCAATTTTACTAAAAGCTCTATAATCATCTCCATAATCTGCATGTTTAAATAATTGATCCATTTCCTTAATTTTGATTGGAAAAAAAATTTTTTAGGAAAAAAAGTAAACCTGTACGACTAGATGTTGACGATCTTCAATAAATTTAAATTGAGGTATAAATGTGCTATAGAACTAAAAAAGGAAGAATTAAAAATATTTAAAGACTATAAAGCTTCAATAGGATTGTGAGTTTAAAAATGGACCAGAAAATTGAAGTTTCAATACAAAAAACTCAAGTTTCGAACAGGCCAATTTAAGATTTTGCGGTGGGTGGAACTGAAAAACTCAAGTCCCCATAGACCTTGCAAGGTTATTTCTTGAACAATGAATATTAATTTTGTAATCATTCGATAGAACATAGTGTATAACAGGGATGTCACAGGTTGAGAAAAATGTCGGGTCGTCAAATTTCTTCGGATCGGGTTTCGGATCGAAAAAAGGCCGTGTTTCGTGTATCGGGTACCCGTGACATCCCTGCTGGTGTGTAACAATTGCCAGTTTTTGACATTTGGATCCAGGGTCATTTTCGGGTCGGATTTAAAGAATAACTATCTTAAAATGTCTTCGGAACCAAAAAAATTGAAAAATGTTTGAAAAATTGTTCTCGGCTATGCTCTATCGGATGATACCAAAAAATACAAAATTAATGCTCACAGTTCGGAGGTAAATGTAAACAGTCTTATTGTTAGTCTAAACCAAGATTAGATGTGAACCCGAAACCCGGTCTTTTTCTTCGATCAGATACCTGACCCATCCATGGTCTCTAACCCCAAACCTAAATTTTTATATTTAAAAAAACCTCACAATTTCTGACATATCCTTGCGTAATTTTTCAGAGTATTCATTCAATAAGTTTCTTGTTTCCTAAAAAAATCTTTAAAAAATAAATTTTATTAAAAAAACCTCGTCTTTTTCAACATCCCCAGTACATTTCCAAAATACCCTAATTTCATTCATTAAATGGGGAAGTTCAAGTTTAGTTATCAAAACATTTTCAAGCCCATCTTCTTCACAAATAATACTTGGCAAAACACTCATATAAATTTTTGTCAATTGTTCTCGTTTTTTGGGATCCAAAAACCGGTTTTTTGTGCCAAATCTTTCCAATACTAATTTCTGAAATAATTCATTTAAAAAAATATTAGAGAAAAACCAAGGGAACCAAAAATAGGAAGGACTAATGGGAATTTAAGTGGGAAAAAGGGAACTTTTTGCTGACAATAACTTGGCGCTGAAATTGATTTTTGTTCTCTCCTGCCTTCCCCCTCACCCTCCACGAAAATTTTTCTTGAGTACGGGCCTAGATAATAATTACTAGTGCTGCGTCGGAACCACAAATTTGTCCGGAACCGGAACCAAAAAATCCCGGAACCTCCAGGCTTACCGGAACTTCCGGCGCAACAATAATTACTACCTACAAAACGACATTTGGATCAATTCTCTATCATTTATGTGGTGTTTTTACGCAAGGCAAAGGAGCCAAAAGGGAAAACAGAAGCAAAATTTACACACAGAAATAAAATAAAAAAATTTATGACGACCAAAAATACCAAAAAAAAATTTTTAAGAAACCACCGCAAAATTAAACCCATTAAAATAAAAAAAAAACCGTAGATTCCAAAGAATAAAACCCAAAATCTTGTAGATATGTTTTTGTAAAAGTCCTTTCCATTTTACGTCTAAGCAAATGAAATCTTGTTTGTTTAATTTCATATCCTCCAGTTCTATTAGTTCCCGAAGAGCGATAATGAACTTTGCAGGCAATCAATTTTAGAGGGTGAAAATATGTTGACAATAATTTTTGATGTTTAAATGGTTGTAACATTTAAAAATTTCAAAAAAAAATTTTCTAAAATAAAAAAAAATTTTTTTGAAGAAATACTGCATAAAACAAGGCGTGTCCGGACAAAATACCGAATCGTTAAAATATGGAATAGGCTAAAAAAGGGTTAAAATCTCGAATCGGGTAAAAATGGGTTAAAATCGCGAATAGGCTAAAAAGGGGTTAAAATGTGGAATCGTTAAAATATGGAATGGTCAAAATATCGAATCGGCTAAAAAAGGGTTAAAATATGGAATCGTTAAAATATGGAATGGTAAAAATGTCGACACGGCCAAAATCAGATTAAATATACCGTCTTCTGCAACTGATTTTACCTCATTAATAGATTTTACCTCTAATTTAGAATTTTATCCGTAAATGGATGTACGAACAACTTTAGCAAAATTACAAAAAACTCGAAAACGACGATTACAAATCAATGATACTTCTGATTTAAATGAACAAGAACCAGAAGCAAATCTTGATGGAGAAAATGAAAAATGCTATGGAGCAAATCTGACAAAATTTGAACAAGGAGTTACACAGAAGGGTGGCGTCAGCCTTTGGCATGCAGGTTTGAGCTAGATATCAAATTATTAAAATGGATTTTTTGAGGGTATCGATATGTCAAGAGTAAAAATATTCATTGGCGTTGTTCAAACTTGGACTGCCAGGCAACTGCAAAAGCTGAAGAGAAAAATGGCCAATTTATTGGCAGTTTAGGAGAAAAAGAGCATAATCATCCTCCAGCAATTCAAAAAAAAGTTTGTGAAGAGCTTAGAAATAGATTGAAGAAGGATAAGAGACCAATTCTGGGAGAAGTACGAGCAAATATCCCAGATGAAGTTTACATGTTACTTCCTCTCCTGCCTGCATGTCAACATTTATCTGTGATGTTACTTCCTCTCCTGCCTGCATGTCAACATTTATCTCGTATTTTGCGGCGACATATATTGGTTTAAGTCAGATTGAAAAACAATTGGGAGCGGAAGCATTTCAGCAAGGGGTCCAAGTGCATTCAGTTCAAGAAAACAGTGGAAATTTTACAGGTTTTCTATTTAATGTTCAATAATTCAAAAGTAAATTAAGCTTTGGATGATCATTCTTTTCATCCCATTATTTCAACGCCTATCCACATGGAATCAACTGCACCTCCAACACCGTCAATTAGCCTAAGTACAATTGTGGAGATTCCTAGTTGGGAGGTGCCATTAGTCCAAAGTCCACAATATCCTATAGTATTTTGGAATGTGAATGATCGGGCCGTGAAAGCATTAGCTAAGACTAACAATGCATTGGAGTCGAGTCACTACCATTTTGTGGTATTTCTTTTGTATTTTTTACTTTTCCAAATTTTTTATTTAGAAAAAACTTAACCATCATCCTTCAATGAGTGATTTTCTCTTGGCAATTTTGGATGATGTTGATAAGCAAGTAGACATCGCTCGTTCTGCTACTACCTTTACACAGCAACGAAAAAGAAAGTATGTGATCAAGGAGTTCCAAGTTATGCACACACTAAATGAAGCCGAATACGATGATAATAGACAACTTCTGAATGTTCTAACGCTCCTTGGCTTACAAATGAGAGGTTATGTTGAGGGACTGCGAGTTGCTACACGTCAACAGGAAGAACGTGATACTGAAGATGGTGTGGATAGTGCAACTTTGGAAAGTCAAATTATTAGTCAAGATTATTTAGACGCTTCTAGTTCATTATTTATCTATTAATATTTTACTTTATTTTTTATTATTTTTTTATTGACTTTGATTATTATTTTATTGTTCAATGATTCTAGCTTTAATGATTTTTGTTCGGTGATTTTAAATGAAATATAAAATTTTTATTTTGCTTAGTTTTGATTTTACTACGACATACGAAACTTATCAATCAAATTATCAAAAATAAGTTGATAAGTTGTCATCAACAATCAGCGTATTGCACTCATATGACCCTTTTTTAAAAGAATTCGACATTTTGACAGATTTTAGCCGTGTCGACATTTTTACCATTCCATATTTTAACGATTCCATATTTTAACCCTTTTTTACCCGATTCGATATTTTAACGTTTCCATATTTTAACGTTTCGGTATTTTAACCCCTTTTTAGCCTATTCGCGATTTTAACCATTCCATATTTTAACGATTCCATATTTTGTACCGGAGCCAAAACAAGGATAGTTTAGAGAAAAAGATGAAAAAAACGTTTCGCCAAAACACATAATTTTAAATTATTTTAATTTCTTGGCCTTAATTTACGACGATTTTAAAATTTCAAGGTAATTTTGAAGTTGATGACTATCACTTTATTACATCCAACATGGTCTTGATCACTTTAAGATCAGTATTTACCATCTGAAACGTAGGGAAACTTGTCTTCACATCATATTATGAAATTTTTTATTTTTCTTCCGCTTCAGCCTTCCGCAGAATTCCGCTTTTTTGGCCCTTCCGCCTTCCGTCTGCCGCTTTTTTATTATATTTCGCTTTCTTCCGCTTCCGCTTTTTAAAATTCTAAATTCACCATCACTGCTGTGCAGGCACTAGGAAGGGCCCTGTCCTGCGGCGCTGTAAGGGGAGGATCCGCCACATTAGCTTTAGAATTATTTTAAAAGACAGCTAAAAAGACCACTGGCTTCTTAACAGTCACAAATATGTACGGAGATTGCGGAAATTATGCGGATATAGCATCCTATCTGTATCCGCCCGTATCCGCGGATATCCGAGAGTTTCATCTTCAATGATAAATTATTGCGCAATAATTAAATTTTTTACAGCATCAACCATTAATCGATAACTCAAGGCAATCGGCAAGCAATCGCCAATTCAAGGAAGTTGACAGGCAATCGACAATTCGAGGCAGTTGACAGGCATAAGCTAACTCACAGGCAATGACAACTCAAGGCAATCGCCAATTCAAAGTAAATCGACAGGCAATCGACAATTCGAGGCAGTTGACAGGCATACGCTAACTCACAGGCAATGACAACTCAAGGCAATCGCCAATTCAAAGTAAATCGACAGGCAATCGACAATTCGAGGCAGTTGACAGGCATACGCTAACTTACAGGCAATGAAAACTCAAGGCAATCGCCAATTCAAAGTAAATCGACAGGCAATCGACAATTCGAGGCAGTTGACAGGCATATGCTAACTCACAAGGCAATCGAAGGCAGTCGAAGGCAGTCTCGCAAGGCAATCGAAGGCAGTCTTGCGATAAAAGAAATAGCATTATAAGAGAGAAAAATCGCACGCAACCTTCACCTATATCGCCAGGCGCGGGCGTTTTTTATCAGGCATAAATACTAGCATAAATACATATCCTTCTCATTTTATACTTTGTTAAAAGTTTTTTTATTAATGTAAAAGCATATATAGCAGTTTTGCCTTTCGGTTTTTGGGCGGAAGCCAAAATACATATTAGTAATTATTTTTTATACATATGTCTAAAGTTTGGTTTTGGGTTGGCGGGTCCGCATATCCGGAGCTGAAAAAGTCCTGATAACAGGATCAGGGGCATTATTTTAAAACAATAATTAAAATTTCAAATAAAAAGATTTATTCCGAATTTTTAACTATAGTTTTAACTAAATTGAGCAAATCAGGATCAGAAATAAAAAGATAAGCCTGGGTAGGCATTAGGAACGAGGCCTGCAGCTGCATACATATAAAAAAGGATGGTAAAGGAAGATGGAATTTGCAAAAGCCTTTTACTCATTTTATACACCCATTATGATATCTTAACTTGTCGGATCCAAACGCTAAAAAAGAAATTCGGCTTTTTAAGCTTCTAATATTTCATAATTTTAGCCGGTGGCGCTAAAAGAGGAGGGGGAGGAATATATTATTATCCACCACAGCGACGCCTCTCTAAGCACATTATTCCCAAAAGTTACAGACAACCCTCACTACTTCAATAAAAATTTTGGTTACGGGTATCCGGGGATTTCCCAGGATCCGCCACACACTAGGCCGCAGCGTTAAAAAAGAGGAATTCTGACTTGAATTCTTGAACTAAAATAATTTGTTTTCTTTACTCGTAGCTCATAAGAGATGTCAAAATCGCAACAGGCGCAATTTTTCTTGGCTCGTAGCTCATACGAGATGTCAAAAGTGCGCGAGACTTCTCTTTATCTTTCTTCTCTCTTGAATTTATTAAAAAATATTTTTTCTCCTTACTGTAAAATCATTTAAAAATTTAAAAAAAAAATATTTTCTTAGCTAAAAATATTCTTGTTAACTAAAAAATATTTTTTATTTATTTGCTAGTCTTTAAAAATTATTTTAACAAATTTTAGAAAATTTAAAAAAAATTAATTAATTTGATTGAGAATGAAATGTCAAATAATTATTTTTTTATTACTTTTTTCATCTTCAATGGCAATGAAAAAGATAAAGGAACTTGGGAAACGTTAGAAATTTTTTTGAAATTTTTATAAAAATAAATTTATAAAAATTGGGTTTCCACTGCTCCACATAACTATAACCTCACTCGAAATTTTCGAATTACACGATAACTGAATTTCTAAATTCTTTTCATCTTGCTACTATAATTGACGGATCCGGATATTCGGAACTTTTCGGTTCGGATACCGGATCCGGATATCCGAATATTTGCAACTATCCATCAACCTTACTTGCTAAAGTTGAATCCAAAGCATTTTGAGTTTGTTTGGGTTCACATTTAACATCCTTCATTTCTGAACAATATTGAAAGGGTTCTGGGTTACCAAGGGTTTTAGGGAAACTTTCGATGTTTCACATTGTCTAGTACACTAAAACTTTGAATTTTCTTGTTTTCATTGAAAATTTCAGAATTTTATATTGTAAGGAAGGGAGAGCCAGTTGGTAGCATTACTAAAAGCGGGGTTAAGATTAAAAATGAAATCAAAAGCATCGCTTAGGCAGCTTAGCCTGGGTAGAGGACCTGCACGTAGTGAGCAGAGTTTGGTCAAATTCCTATTTCCAACAGATCCTTTGTCATTTCCGACCGACTTGTGGTGTTGTTTGAAGGTTGTTCATAGCAATAACTGCCAGAGAGGCTTTAACCTTTAACTCTCCCAGAGAGGCTAACCTTTTAACTCTCCCTCATTTTCCTTTTAAAAATTCATAAGCTAATTTAGGAGTGAAAAACTTGGTAATTCAAAAAACCAGCGGGATTGAGAGTGCCTTTTTCGACAATCCAGCTTCGATAGAATTAAAAAACCAAGTGTTGGCTAATTATTACAAAGAATATTTATTAGCCGAAACAAAGAAAGAATTGAAACAAATTAAATTAAAAATATCTGTGGCTACATATCTTTCGATAACTGAAAGGTTAATAGGAAGATATGGACACAGATTGAGTCATTTTTTGGAACAAAAAAATTTTATTGCTGAATATAACCAAGAAGTAGAAATGGATTTGATAGAATATTTTGCTAGGTCTGTTAAAATTTGAATTTTATTAAAGAGAGAAATGATTCCTTGGATTTAGAACTGGAGTAGGTCGAGATTGGGGCCTCACCTCTTTCCTTGCGATTTTCCAACCTCGATCTGCCTGGTCTTGGTCTCGGAACCTCGGTTTTGGTCCGGACAAGAACCTCGCCATGGCCCAGGCTAAATATACAATCCTAAGAATTGAAAGAAACGGAAGAATAGGGCATATCTCAAATTTCTATTAAGAAGATACCCTAATACATAGTGTATGTAAAATAGACTTCATAAGGTCTTCGACTTAATAAGGTTTCCGACTTCATAAGGTCTCCGACCCAAGAATAGTCAGATGGATACATACTAGGGTTGGTCGGAGAAATTTTCAGGGAGCCCACGGCACCGAGGGGGATGGGAGGAGAAAACTCGGGGAGCCTCATCATGCGAGTGGCGTGGGGAAGGGGGGGGGGTGGAGAGAGAGAGAGAGAAAACAGAGAGTCAGGAGACAATAGCCGTCAAATTCGCCGACTTTCGGCGACGGTGTCCAACCCTAATATATACCTATTAATTACACTATAAAATATATACGGTAATACAAACTAGAGTTGGTCACGGTACGGTATTACCGCGGTATTTTTCGGTAATACCGCGGTATTTTTTACCGAAATACCGATACCGATACCGCACAGTTTTAAAAAAATCGGTATTTTTCGGTATTTCGGTATTTTCCTGGTAGACTAAAAAGTGAGTTTTTTCGCCTACGGCCTTCCGAAATTTTCAAAATTTTCGCCTGCGGCGCTGAAAAAATAAGAAAGTTGGCTTCCAATTCTAAAATTTTGGCTTCCGGCGGTTAAAAATGGAAGAAATCTGGCTTCATGGCCTTCAAAATTTTTCAAAATTTTCGCCTGCGGCGCAAAAAATGAAGAAATCTGACTTAAATTCTGCGCAAGCAACGTCAGTAGAAAGTGAAAGGATTTTTTCCGTAGCAAGTTACGTCTTTGAATACAGGCGATCACTTTTGTGTCCAGTAAATGCAGAAATGTTAATTTTTCCGAACCAAACACTTCCATTGATTCATTATAAATAGTAAATTCATTATTTATTCACTATTTATAAACTTATTTTACATTTATAGTATTAAATTTGCTCATTTGGTAAATTAAAAAAAAATACCGAAATACCGCGGTAATACCGACTATTTTTCGTCGGTATTTTTCGGTATCGGTATTTTACCGAAAATACCGATACCGAAAAATCGCATTTGACCAACACTAATACAAACCGTCCAAAATTTAAAAAATCTTTTAATTTTAGTATAAAATCACTAGTAGCAAATAAACCTACCAATCTACTACTTTGTAAAACTATTCAAATTTTTGTTACTTTAAAATTTCACATAAGAAATCAAATAAAAAGGAATAATGATGAACAAATTTTATTTGATTGTGAAGGAGAAGATAATATTCTCGATGAAATTGATTTTTTACAAGAAATGATTCTTGAGGGGAATTTTATCGAATTTTATTTTTCGGTTATGGAAAATGCTAATTTTTTGGACTTTCTTAGGTTTTGAAAAAAAAAATTTTTATGAAATTTTTTTAAATATTTAAGGAAGCAAATTAATAGTCAGGATCAAACTTGGTTAAGAAGGAAATTTGAAAATATTTTTGGATTGGAAAGATTTGCTTTGCTTTCTGAAAGATTTTCGGACATTTTTAAACAAATGGGTTAGTAAATTTGTATAGAGGGAAATTCCCGAATCCGGACCCGGTTTTTTCAAAATTCTGATCCTTATGTGAGCGGGTGACCGAGTGGTTAAGGTGTTAGACTTCACCCATGTCGTTAAAGATTTAGAGGTGGCTTCGCTTACAGGCAGTTTATTTGACGTTCAGTCATCCGTAAAAAGTTAAGATACCGAGACTTTCAGTTCGGATACTGATTTCGAATTCGGTTATCTTCAGACTTCCCAGGTCTTTAAAGAGCGCAGTTAAATTGAGGCGCACCACGGGTTGTTATAATCGACATCTAATGTAAAGTTGACGGATTTTGGAAAAGTTAAGGGTATCCGGAGCAAACTGCATTAAGAGCTTTGGATCAATTCCATCTAAGTCTAATCTCTTACCTCTCTTAATCTTGGAAATCCTCGTATATTCGGCTTGCATATTCGAACCAAAAATTTTATCACTTACAAATTTTTATAAACAAAATATTTAGTAAATCCCGAGGATTTAATCGAAGATTTATACAAAATAAATTTTACACCAAAAGATAAGTCAACCACTGACTGGAAAAGTTTAGTTGTTTTGGAGTATATAATTTATATGGAATGGGCAGAAAACGTATTGAGTGGAATACAAGTAGAAGAGGGTTAGTTAAATTGAAAATTTTTTGTAATACAAAAAAATTTTTTAGATAAGGTGGAAATCATTAAATATTTAGGACGACTTTGGGAGTATTTTAAAATTAGTTTTTGGAAAGGGAGGAATTTTAAAGAAGAAAATATGGAGGTAGAAATTGAGGTAGAAATTTATTTAATTGAGATTTTTCGTCTTTTTTGGAGTTTCTTCTTGAGTTTTTATTATATACGTGTTCATGTTATGGAAAAATTTATTGGGTGGGAGATGGAATAGAACCACTTGGAAAGGCCCAAACCGAAGCACAACCGACTGTGCCACCATCCAACACGATGCTGGGTATTTATTTTCTGGAAGGTGGGCCACGGAGGACGGGGATAAACTAAATTCCCGACTTTCGAGGACGGGGACCTAGGAATTGACTTTTTTGAAAAATTTAATGTATCTTACATAATGTCCTTCCAAATTCTTAAAATTTTTGCCTGGATTTATCCTTGGACATTAAGTTCGTTCTCGTATATAAATTTGCCTCATCCTCGATTTAGGCCTTTCCAGACTCGTTAATCCTTTGTTTTGTAGACACAGGCATCTCAGGAAAAAAGAGTGGTACCGTTCGACTCAGTCCGCCGAGACGAATCGAAAGGTATGGGTTTTACATCGAAACCTTTCCACCGGTATACTATACTACAGCCGAAAACACTACTTTTTTGATTTTTAGAATTTCTTTGTAAACCAAAAAGAAATGAGTATATTTAATCATGGTCGTGATTATTTATACCTTCAAAGTTACAAAAGATGTACTGTGAAAACTATAAATGAATTGCAAAATCCTCCAAAAAAGCCACAAAAAAGTAGAAAAGGTAAAGGGAAACAAGGTAGTAGTAGTGATAGTAGTAGTAGTAGCAGTATTCCCGTTGATTCTGTTGACGGAGCAGAACAATATTTTAAGAGTTGTTTGGATGATACTTCCACAAATGTAGCTATACAAAATTTTAATGAAGAAGAAAGGAAAAAAATGCATTTAAATAAATTAAATGAATTGTTAAACAATGAAGAATTTAAACAATTTTTGCAATGCGAAGCATACGGTAATTAACAATTAATGTTGTAATTAGTGCCCGCGCCCAAAGGGATAAAGCCAGATTTTTTTAAAGTTCGAGTCATGAATCCGAGGTTTTCTCACTATCTTAGGATTAATTCCTGACAAGATTAAGTCAGAAAATTAGGCCTGGCTCACATCATTGCCAACCCGGAATCCGAATACACAATTTTGGCAGACACTGACTGTATTCCCATCCCAGAGGTGATGTGAGATTAAGAAATTGTCCAAGTTCCTTCATGTTGAAGGCATCTTTCAAAAATTTAAAATATGAAACTGGGTATTTTCCGCTATACGACCGCAAACTGAGTGCCAGCCGACTTTGATCGGCTATAACTTTTTAATGCTTGATCTAATAAAAATGAATTTTATATCATTCGAAAGCCCTCGATAAGCGTCCAACTCGAGAAAATTTCAGGCACAAAATTTTTCCCTTTCGGGTCATTTCCCTCACTTTCTATATTTTCCTCCACCTTTTATTAATTTTTAACATCTTGTACAAGTACAAATATCGAAAATAATATTTAAAAATATTTTATTAATTTTTAGTAATAACGGTTAAACAATTATGCGATGTACAGTAGTCGACAAAAAGATAGGGACAAACGCAAGTAAAATGAAAATTACCTATTATCTCAGCTAAAAATCGATTTCAGGAAAAATTTTTTGTTTGATTAAATACGCCATTTAATGCTTTATTTAATGAGTATAAGATCTGGCGTATTATTATTTTTTGATATACTGAAATAATTGAAATAAAAAAGTACTGCAAATTTTAGCCCGACAAAAAGATAGGGACAAGTCTTGTAACTAAGTAGTCACCCAACCAATAAATCTACAAAAATTCGTGCAAACATACTTATCGATACTAAGATAAAATAAAAAAGAACTAGGCCCGTATCTCATTTCAATGTCCGTTTCACTTGCGTTTGTCCCTATCTTTTTGTCGACTACTGTAACTATGAATAAATTAATTAAAGGTTTTGAAAATAAAAAAAATAAAGAAAGGGCACATGAAGGAGTGAAATATACTTATGGGGTAATTATTGAAAAAATAATTAAATTGTTAAAATTTGCTTTAAGTTGCCTAAAATAAGACGAAAACCCAGTAAGGATAGCCCTAATCTGCGACCCCAATCTTGACACGTTTCGTAACAAGCATCCAGAGCTGTTTCGAAATTTCGCGAAATTTCGATTTTCATAGTTTTCGAAACAATTTTGCCCCCACCCAGACATTCTCGAAAAAACGTCTATAGTGATTCTGTGAACCTAAAAGTTTCCGGGCCGAGGGAATCCGAACAGTAAAATCCTTGGTGTTTGTAAATGGTGGTATGACAAGTTCGGATATATAAGCAAGCATACAAAAATTTAAAAAGCATTATCTTCCAGCAAGAAACATCATCATCATCTTCTAGCAAAGGAAGATCAAGCAAAGGAAATGAGAAGGCTTATGAAATAGTACAAACATTTCCCCCCAAAAAACCAACTAAAGGTTTAGAAAATTAATTAAATTTTAATTTAAATTAAATCTAAAGGACCAAAACCGGGATATATTCCTTCTGTTGTTAGAAAGGGTCTAACAATAAAAGAGGATGTAAAAAAAGGAAAAAAGAAAAAATCTAAACAAGGACAAAGTGAAGATGTTGCAGATTTTTATGTAGGTTCAAATAGCCTATATAGTCGGACCTTATTATAAAATACACACTAGTGTTCCGGTCCTGAACAAAAAATCAGATCCGGATCCGGTCAAAATTTCAGTTCCGGTTCCGGCCAAATTTGTTGTTCAGGCGAAACACTAAAATACATACCCTCATAATTAGAGGCTAGACGGAACTGTACTGGTATTTTACTGTATTTTGTATTTATGGAATACGGTACGATACAAAATTCCGGACTCTATATGTAAGTACATTCAATATTAGATACCCCTCTATTTAAGATTCCACCTATTTAAAATATGTCTCTTAAAATTTGGGTGGACACTGGACTGGGATACCCCCTATTTAAGGTATCCTCATTATAAGATACACTCTCAGTATCAAAATGTATTTACAGGTAGGGTCCGACTATTTCTCTCTATATGTATATTTTCATAATTAAAATTAAAATAAATTTGAGTTGAATCACCTAATAAATGAATATTATACTATTCACGTGAATGTAATTCAAACTAGAGAGTATATTATACAAAAATTGGGACAAATAATTAGAGAATGGATAGAACAAGTGAAACAAACTAAAGGAATAACTAATGATAGTGCCGAAGAAGAAGGTACATATAGTCAGCTCCCGTGATGGGTACGGCTTCGAGAGTACGTCTCCGAAGCCAGAAATGGAGCCGTAGCATTATATTCATGTTCATATTGTGGAAAAATTTATTTGATGGGAGATGGAATAGAACCGTCATGGAAAGGGTCCTTGATTTGTACTGGCATTCTCAAAAATCTGTTAATTATCAAGAATTAAAAACATTTTTTATTTAAAGAGTTCCTATTACAAGTGGTTGGTTCTGACATATTAGAAACAACTGCTAAATGGTCAGATATGGATATTTTGTGTATTTTGCCAAAATATATAAATATTTATGATTTTATTGCTGAAGATGAGTTTGGGTTATATGGAAGTTTAATGAATAATGGGGTATGTATTTTTTAAGCAGAAAACCTCACATGAAATACGACCAATATTAACCTAGGTTTGGAGGTTGGTTGGTTGAAGGTTGGAGGATCCTGAGAAATCTTCGAATATCCGAATCCGTTACGAACCGAAAATGTCCGGATATACAGTCGTTTCCGTTCAGGATATCCGTATCCGCCTACCTTGGATACACCTCTGTTTAAGATACTACTCATTATAAGGTACAATCTCTCAGTAAAATGGGTGTACTTTATACATAGTAGAGTAGGTCGAGGTCCTCGCCTATTTTCGAATCTCGGTCTCAGTTTGACAGGCCTCACGTCTCGGAACCTCGTCTCGGTCCTCGCCAAGAACCTCGCTTTGCCGTGGATTTTTCAAAAAATCTCGTCCTCGGGCCTACACTTTATAGTAACTGACAAAAAATGAAAAATTATTTATTTAGGAATTACAATTAGATATAAATATTGTAATGTCAACAAGAATTTTGATTCTTGAATTTGAAATGTATGGAATTGACGTTGATTTAATTTATGCACAAATTCCATTTCAAAAAATCGGGGAAAATTTTGATATAATGGATTATGAAATTATTGAAGAAAATAAAAATAAAAGAAGCATTTTAGCTTTAGCAGGTCAAGTAAATAAAATACAGTCGGAACTCACTATGACATACACAATTTATTTAATATGGACCTCAATTTAAGATACTTTTATGAAAAGATAGGTGGATTTTAGGCCGAGGAACCAGTGTCCATGTGTTGCCAAAGGTCTTCGTCAAAAGGTCTCGGGGAGGGATGTTTTGGAAGATTTGGAAGACATCAACATTAATTGTTCTAGTTCCGATTTTTGTTCTGAAAAAGCCCCCCCCCCCCCCCCCCCCCCCCCGAGGAAGCTGTCCAAGCAATACACCTCTAAGAAAGATGGGTGGATTTTGGGCCGAATGACCAGTGTCTACGGGTGGAAGGTCGCCGTGAGGACATGAGGGTCGTCTTTGGAGGACTAAAATATTCATTGTTCTAATTTTGTTATGAAAAAACAACCCCTCCCCCCCCCCCCCCCCCCCCCCCCGAGGAACTTATAATACCTCGACTTATCCAAAGGTGTTTTTAAGTGATTCCGATCATAATAATAAAAATTCTATTCTAATAAATAAATATTTACTTAAAAAAGGTGTTCGTTGTCTAAAAATTATAAGACAATATATTTGTAAAAATCAAGAATTGCTGGTTTTGTTAATGCGTTATATGAAAATTTGGGCAAAAAGTAAGGATATTATT